TATTTTAATTTTTGCTAAAATAGCTGATTAGCACCTGACTTTTTTTTTTTTTTTTTTTAGATGTCTTTCATCACAATGTGATTCTCTGTATCAAAAAACATCTTCCAAAAATAAAATTTACTTTTCTGAAACTTGATTTGAGGAATGTTAACTAATTTAAAAAAAAAAAAAAAAAAAAAAAATTTACTTTTAAGTTGAAAATAACTGAGAAATGGATTCTTAAAATAAACAGTAGTGGTGATTTACATGCTTTTTATCGCCTGTCAATCATTTAACCAGGTGTTGACAGTTTTATTGTTGTTCTACAGACTTTATCTGTTAAAACATAATTTAGGAAAATGATATGTGAACAATTTTTATATAATTTTTAAGTACTCAGTAATCCTAAAAATGTTGGAAATATTCTCCATAATCTAATTTTAGGAATGTTGAATTTAAATTTACTAACATGAATGATCAGCCATACTTTCAAAATGGGCATGTTTATACACATGAAATAATGTTGAATTATTTTAAAAATCTTAGTCCATGATGATTTGTATCAAGCTTTTCAATAAGAAAAAAAATGATTTACATTTTCCAAGGAATCCTGAGTTTAACTAATAAAACAAATTTGGAGGAGTTCAATTTCCAAAATCAATGCATTATTTTACTGGAAAAAAGTGCTAAAATTTCCAGTCAGCTTTGTTACACTGTTGACTCACAAAAAAAGTTTTTAACCAAAATTTCAAACATGTTAGAAAGGAATAAAAATCTTTTGATTTTCCTCTTAATAATAACAAACATTTTGACAATAAAACTTTATTTTTAAGTTTGGGGCTTTTTTTCATCATGCTATGCTGCCTTTTAATGAAAAAAAAAAGTGGAGGCATGTACATCAAAGGCACATTTTCTACACTATCATCTTTTCCGTCTACATTTTTTTCAAATTTGATTCTGAAACTTGTTACTTTTGGCAACAATTTAGACCAACATAGTTTACACAGATACATATTGACACAGATGTTTAAAGTAAGCATGCCTGCTTTTCGCTAAAAAGAAAGAAAAAAAAATAGCATAATGAAAAAAGGCCTCAAACTTGATAAAAACAAAGTTTTAGCATCAAAATGTTTATGTTATTATTAAGAGGAAAGACCAAAGTATTTATTTAAAAAAAAATTTTTTTTTTAAAACCTTTCTAACACATTTGAAATTTTTTTTCTTTACAGTGATGTAATTTTTTTTACAATGTGTTTTTGCTCTTTTCTTACAATGAAAAACACAGATTTGGAAATTCTTGCAAAAATCAAATAATTGTTGGATTTTAATGAAATTTTCAGAACTTATTCACAAATGAATGAAATTATTTTTTTTAATTTTTTGTTTTAGAAAATCATTGTAAATGTTTTTTTTTTTTTTTTTTTTTTAAACACATGTTGCACCACACTTAATTTCATGAAATTTCAAGAAATTAAATATGTCCAATTTTTTTTTTTAATTAGCTAAAACTAGAACTCCTTAGAGAATGTAAATCATCCAATTTTTTTCCCCAAACTTTTGCTAGTTTTCTGAAAATTTGCTCTGACTAGTAAACTAAAAAAAACGTAATAAAACTATAACATTATTTAATTAGAAAACCTTTTAATTTCTTTTGTAAATGAGTTATATTTAGGACATTATTGTCTTAAGATATTTTTTTCAATGAATAATTAATTTTTATGAGGATTTTTTTTACACTTTTTTTTTTTTAATTTTAATTATAATAATTTATCTTAATTTAAAAATTGTTTAAAAATTATCCACAACATATTTCTTTTAGGTGATATTGTAATTAAGTAGAAACTATATTTATGAATCAAAAATTGAAAAGCTTAATTTACATTTTTTTATATACATTGTACCTTCTACTGTAAATTTTTTTTTTTTTTAGTTGTGTGGATAAAAAAAAAAAAGCAAAGAAAAAAGCATATTCTAGATAAATTACCAATATCTACAGTTCTAATAATATTTGAAGCAAAGTTTGATTAAAAAAAATTAATATGGAAAATTTTGGAAGCTTATTCTGAAGAGAAGAAATAAAACAACAAATTTTGTCCATTATAATAAAGCATATTTTATTTTAAAATTTCACATTATTTCCAAGGCAGATCTTGCATTTGCAAGTAGAACAAGGTGCATTCTAGAAGTTTTTAGATGAGGCAAGATTTTTCTTTCACTCAAGAATTAGTATTAGATGAATACATTCCTTTTTGGTTATCTTTTATTTTCTGAAAACATGAGTTTTAGCTATCAATTGAGTGTTTAAAATTTGATAAAAATGTATAATTGTTAGTGATTTCTACTTATATCTTAACACTGCTGCAGGGAAATTTGTAAAAATACACATTCTCAAGACAAATCAATTTGGATCAACAAATTTTTCAGTCACCAATTTTGAATAAAGAATAAAATGAGAGTATTCACTATGAAAAGAAAATAATAAAAAAAAAACAGAAGTGAAAGTTAAATACATAAAAGAGACAAGTAAATTTGGTAGAAATAAGGCAAAAAACTCAATAACAAGGAATGCAAATCAGAATAACCAGGAGAAAGAATATATACTGGTATTTTTATATAAGTCAGCTTGAAAGGAGAGAAATATTAAATGTAAGGTATTTTAAAAATATTTTATAAACTTTTAAACAAATCACAGATTTGAGACACAGCTTATTTGGGAAATATTTTTAGATTATCAATAAACAGCAGAGTTATCAGAAAAAAGATAATAACTTTATGAAATGTTTGGTTTTATTCAATTTTTTTTTTAATACTTAAATCTTCTATTTGAAACTTAATTTTTTAAAAATACCTTAAAAAAATTCTAGGTAAAAAGCAAATTTTTTAAAGTAAAATCTAAGCTGATGAAAAAATGCTTAATCTAAAACTAAGAGACAGCATTGTTAAAAAAAAAAAAAAAAATATCACACAACTGATCTTCTGAATAAAGTATACAACAATATATATATATATATATATATATATATATATATATATATATATATACTGTCCTATTTATTTCAAAGCATAACAATTTTTATAATTTCCACTTGGGGATTTTTCCATCTCCCAACATGAAGAGAATATAGTACAAGGCTGTTCTAAAAGTAGTGACAATTTCTATCTGTATGCAAAATCATAGCAGGAGAAAGAGCGCAAAGTATAGAAAATGACATACAAGGCACATAAAATAGGTGATTCAGATTGTGCCTATTGGAATGCATAGGAACCAAGGTAAAAATGCGGGGAGAGATGGAATCTTAAAACATTTAGTTACATGAGAATACTTTTCAGAAGCGTGCAAGTACTAATCAAATATATACATTTGAAGAACATTTTTATTCCATTCCTAATAATAACTTGTATTGTTTCCACATTTTTAATAGCAATTCTTAAACAGGCTAGTGATAAGTATGCATTATTTAAAGTAGACAAGTAGCAAAAATTTCAATAATGAATTTATAATCTTGACAAAATACTACCTCAAATCAACTGAATTGGGTGAATACATAATCTATAGCCTTAAATCCTATTTATTGCATTGGTAAAACCTAAACCACACTGCCTTTATGGATAGCCAAATAAAGAAAATCAAAAATAGAAAAATATTTTTTTTTTCAAAATTAAATAACAGAAATAATTAAACCTGACTTTAATCAAATTCATCATTAGAGAAAAGAGCCTAAAACATTACTCCACTTTATTTATTAAGTAATTAGTCATAATTAGTAATCAAAATGCTGGCTGAATATTTTTGTTCAGAAACAACCAATTCCTAAACATCAGAAAAATTTAGTGTTTAATTCCTATTTTGAAAAATTCATGATTGTAAGATAGATTTTAATGACCACTATAATCAGAGCAATTGCAGAAAATAAAAGGTGGATGACAACAGAACATTAAGTGAACTCTGGATGGAAAGATCTGTGCTGAAAATCTACTAATAAATGCAAGCATTCCATTTTTTAATCAAAATGAAATCAAAGCAAAATATTGAAAGGTTTTAAATTTGATTAAACAAAATCATGTCAAATCTTTGGAAAAAACATTTGCTTTTGCTTAAAAAAAAAAAACAAAAACAAAAAAAACATAACATTCTTAAAGGAGAACAAATTGTGAGCAGGTAAACTAATTTGTTGAAACTTCACTCAAGAAAAAAAAAGCAGTATTTCCTAAAAAAAGAAAGAAGGGGGAGGACTAAAAATAACAGCACCAGCTGTAGATAATGTAGCAAAATCAGGTGTGTGTGAGCATGAGAGAGAGAGAGTCAACTGGGGGGAAAAAATTAAAAAATTACCTGTTTACTGTCTTATTTTCAAAAAGCCTACTTAGAAAGCTTGTAAAAACCTGGTATTTTCTTAAAAATAAATAAATAAATAATCTAAATTGCTCTGGGAAGATCTATCACAATTCAATATGGAGAAGGATGTCTTTAGAAAGAAGCTTGCCTTTATGATTCTTTTAAAACCCTGAACTCACTGAGATTATCTTTAAATGGAATCTGGCATTGATTTCTTTTAAAGATGACCTTAAAGATGACCACATTAGACCAAGGTTTTCTCATGTATATGTATTTATATAAATACAATGACTTTAATATATACATATACAATCACACACAATTCCATTTCAACAGTCATGCATTTACTTTCATTCACCAATACATTAATGGCATATGTCAAAAAAAAAGACATACACTTTAATTCTACAATAGACTGGACAATACTGGAATAGACCACTTTACCCAAGACCTCTATCCCAAGTTTTAATTCATTTATTTTTTTTTTGTTTTATTTTTTTTAATGACAGGCATAATCTATTTTTATCTTGAGATCAGATAAGCATCTCCTTCTGTCTATCAGTGCCTCATGCAGCTGACACAAGTTTCAAGAACAGTGGCCATTTTTATTTCACATCCGGTCATTCAGCATTTTCTATTTTATCCAGCACTCCACCCACTGTAATCAGTGTGTTGGGAGCTACTGTTAAGAACCTTCAACAGCTTTCAGTTCTTTTATTTGCTTTATCAAATATGCTTTCTCATCATTGAACTGTTCATCCTCAGACCGGTCTGTATGAAACTTGGTAAGAAAATCCACTAGTTTCTCCTTATTCCTGAGTAAAATGTCAAGAATGGCTTTAGGTTTATTTGGATTTGCCACAAATACCTGCAAGAAAAATTCACAAGACTAGTGAAAGATAAATTGCAATATTGAATTTTTTTTTCTTTTTAGTAATTTTCATGTGACAAAGTATGCTCTTTAACATGTAACATTTGAAAACAAACTTACAATTTGCAACTTACATTGAATGTTGATGACACAACCAGATTAAACATATAGGATTTAAATATTCTAAAATTAAATTAAAATTATTAAAATATCTAACATATATCTTTGGTCACTAAATATTTTTGGTTTCTGACAATTTCAGATTAAAAATGTGAAAAAAAAAAAAAAAAAAAATTTCAGCAAAATGTTTACTGACACTAATCAGATATACTTACTTTGAAGACATGAAAAGCTTCAAACTGGATATTACGGCTCTTCTCTCGTAACATGTTCATCATCAGCTTAAGGTTATCTGGATTTGTAATGTAACGAGTCATAATAGTAAAATTGTGTCGATCCAACAACAATTCTCCCAATAACTGAAACAAATATCATAAAGGAAATTAGAAAATAAAAATCCTGAGACAAAAATATACATTTAATATTTAAAATTTGAACTGCAGTCATTAAAATTTTGCGCCAAGATTGATAAAGTAATAAATCTTTAACTTTAGTTCAATAGTATTATCTCTCCATGCCAGTAATAAAAGCAATGAGCACAGATTTGTACTACTTTAATTTTTGCCCTCTACTGGGTTCACCAAAATGTTGGTTCTGTTGGCTGTTAGATGGCATCAAGAGCACTTGGTTTTAAATATATTCAGAAAAATTGCTTTTTAAAAATAATTAGTGTATTTTAAAGCAACATTTTTGGCATATACTTTAATTTCAAGAAAGGTTAAAAAAAAAAAAAAAAAATGACTCATTTGATACATAAAAAGATTTTTGCAATTTATGGAGAAGGTATTATAAATGAATGGGAATGTGGCCAAGTGGTTAGAACATTTGCATTCTGACCATGAGACCTGGGTTCGAATCTCATCATGATTTGTCAGGAAGTCTCCTTCCTGATGTTATCGGACTGGAGGGGTCGATCCCAGCAAGTGACACCTTTGGAAAGTGCCTGAAAACCATACCATGGGTTGATCCAAGCTTTGTGAGTGAAATTGGGTAGAGGGAACCCTTGAGGGCTGTTAATAGCTGTGCTAGTACTAAGTCACAAATCATTGTGGCCAAGGGATTGAGCGTGCTGGCTTTGTTCAAATTGTTGATCATGCTAGATAACATGCTCTCTCCCAGAAATGGTTACTAAGGTTTGCTCAGCATATTTGCAGTATGAACCACAGGTGGGCTCTGTGGGGGTTGAACAAACACAGATGTGCCTGAGCAAGCATCTGCAATAGAGATTGGCTAGCCGTCCTAGTAGATGGGTATCCTCGAATACAAGTAGCCAGGTATACCATCAATAGTAACTTGAAAGGTTTTGTACTGGAGATTTCTTATTGAATGATATTCCATCATATAAAGACTTAAAATCTACAAATCAAGCATTGAAAATCATTTGCACACCCCTGAATTATTGTGCATTGTGATGTTTTCATACAAAAAAATATTCTGTACCATATTTAAATGTTCCATTTTCTTTTTAAAACAAATGGTAACAGATAATGAAAAATAGCTTTATGATATGGAATGCAAGTAAAGAGGCAAACAAAATGAACCACCGCAAATAACAACGACTAGTGTTCATCCAAAGAATGCTGCCAATATGGTGTCATTGGAAGAAAGTCTTTTTAATATAAGCTCTTTTCAGATTGACAAACAATAGATTCAAACAACTACTGCACCAAATTAGACCAATTGAAGACTGTAATTTGAAAAGTGGTCAGGATTAGTTAAGGAAGGAAGTCTGTAATATTGCATCAGGATAAAATATTTCTTTTGTGACCAGGCAAAAATTATGACAGCATCAAGTTATTTATCTAACTTGAATCCCCCAAAAAAAAAAAAAAAAAAAAAACCATCACATGGAATAGATATTTTTTATAGCCTACATCTCTTGTGAAATGTGAGGTATTAGGATATTACAATTTGTAAGAAAGACAAATGTAAATTTGATCAAAGTGATAAAATAGACAAAGATCGAGATGAGCATGAAATATCAAGAGTCACCTTTAAGGACATTCCCAAGGGGAAAATACATAGGCCAATCAAGTTCAAAGCTTAGCAGACACATGATAACGAAGGGCAGATTATTGTGAATACTGTAAAGTAGAAGAAAATTGAAGTAATTTTTTTTTTTTTTTTTTTAAGTATTACAATTGGATCAAAGGCTTTGAAAAAATAATGTTGTGCAAAAATATTGGATCAGATTTAATCAGATCTTTGCAAATCTAATCAGAAAAAGGGGCTTTGCTTTGTACCTGAGAACTGTAAAATTATGCTAGTGTTTTTTCCTTTAACATTTTTATCAGTTTAATTGAAGTTTTATAAAATTCAGTCCTATTAAAGCATGAATGTCACAAGACACCATTACAAGTATTGCTAGTATAAATCTTGCAGATGTCTACAATAAAAAATGAGAACAAAAAGACTCACCTTTAATGCTTGCCTTCTTGTTACATAGTTCTCAGAATTTAAGAGCAACTGATAGGAACGGAACACTCTATCATAATTATTCTCCAAAAAGTCAGCACATAACATTTTGTGTTTTGTAAGTAATTCCTGGAAAAAATCATTTGGTCAATTAAAGTCAAGTAATACTTATCTTTTATGATTAAAAAAAAAAAAAGAAGTTCAACAAAATTAAAAAAAAGAATTAGTATGGCACTTAAAGTTACAATTCTAAACACTGTATAGTAAATATTGTCAAGAATTTGTCTGAATAAGTTTAATTTTTGAGGAAATAAAATATTTCACAGCAACATTGCTTTATACTTTTGTAAAATTTCAGTATTTGTAATATACTCTCTACAAAGCAACAACTGAGTACATTTAAAATTACATTAATATATCAATATTCTTGATCATTATACTTAATTTCATTAAAATATATTTGAAAGTAAAATTGATTGTTAAACCTAAGCATGCTAAAATATAAATAACATCAAGTTATTTCATAATTTTCATTTGAAATTAAATTTCAAGTTGAGCCCTCAAGACCCACATTCTACAGATATGGTATACTATTGTTAATGACATGATTTACATAAGATGGACTAAATCTCATTCCAGTTTCATTAAACAATACAAGACTTCAATAAATTATTCGCAACAATATTATTTAAGGGGATCTTCCAAAATTGGAAATGTAAAATAGAAACTGAAAGAAAACGACTGGTTGAATTTTGGGAGATTTGCATAAAACCCACCTATTCGCCCGCACCACACCAGTTAAAAGGGACACCCATAAATACAAGTGCCCACGTGAGCCAAAGTTAGTTGGTGTTGGATTTTTGATGACACTGTTTTTTTATATTCCTTCCAATCCATTTTGTTTAGTTTTCATCTGGGTAGATGGACTTCCATAGATTCTGAAGTATTCAATATTATTGGGTAGTGATCACTACCCCATGAATCATCAAGAACTTTCCAATTGTAATCCATAAATATAGCGGGATCACACAGTGAGCTGAATATGTACCTAATGCTGGATGTAAATATGTATTAGTATTATCATTTAGTAGACATAAATTGTTGTTAATAACATTTTCCATATTTTTCCTTTTGTTTGTGTTCTGAGAACCCCATATAATATTGTGACTGTTAAAGTCACCCAATAATAGAAATGGTCTTAATAATTGTTCTATTAGTTTATTTAAGTTGGTTTCTTCTATAGGCTCTTGCAGTGGGATGTAAATAGAGCAAATGTTTACAGTTCTATGTAGGGTAGCTTTTACAGCTACTGCTTGAAGCTTGGTTTCTAGTGGTATTTTTGAGAGATGTCATTTCTTATTAGAATTGATACACCTCCAGATGTCCTCTGTTGAGTGTCATTGATGTAATTATATTGAGTAATTTTTTATTTTTATTTTATCATTTGGTTTTAAGAAAGTTTCTTGTAGGCAAATGACCATTGGCTGATACTTTGTTGTAAGTAGAAGATCGTTTATGTTAGCATTTAATTCTCTACAATTTCATTGAATAATGTTTTGCATCTTGATTATGTATTACAAATTACGAATTTTTACATATTTTTTTTTTTTTATGGGTGAAGTGTCCATCATTTCTATATTCTCCAGACTATTAGCATTTTGTTTCTACTTTGATTTTGCTCCCTTAGTTTTACCTTTTGATTCTTTTAATGAACTTTGCCTAGATGATCTTTCCCATGCTTGTGATGGGCCAGAGTTTTGTTCCTCTATGTCCATTTTCCTGGGTTCTTCAATAACCGTTGAGTTATTTTTTTTTTGATCTTTTCATTCTCTTGAGAATGATTCGATATTTCTATTTCTTGGATTTTTTTTTCATTTGGATTTTTCAGGTTTAATAGTTTTGTAGATGTAGGGTCATTTTTGTTTGCAGTTGATGGTGGTTCTTTTAATGATCTTTGTATAGATGATGACTGTTCCCTTGTTTGTGATGGGCTAAACTTTTGTTCCTCTATGTCTATTTCTCTTGATTCTTCACTAAAAGTTTTTTTTTTTTTTGGTACCTTTTGATTCTCTTGAGAATGTTTAGAAGTTTCTATTTCTTGTACTTTGGTTTAGAATTTCTGGATTTAATTATTTTGTACATGTAGAGACTTTTTTGTTTGAGGTTGACAGGACAGGATTTTTTTTGTTTATGGGCGTTTGATTCATGAGTGATATACTACATTTTAGTAGTTCTATTAAACTTTTTAATTTGTCAACAAGAGTTATAAGATCTTGGATTCTTAATGCATTGTTCTCTTGGATGACTTTTTGTTGATTTGATATTTTAGTGATATTTGCATATGATGCTTGAAGTGAATCAGATTCAACCTGTTTCCTGGCTTCTTGGAAGGAGATATTTTGCATGTATTTTCTTTTAATTATTTCCTTTTTCCAAATATTACACTCTTTGGATTCTGCTGAATGTTTTTCTTTACAATTTGGACATAAAGGAGTCCTTTCACAAGGTGATTCATCATGCTCAGTTTTCAGTTCCCCACATCTTCAACAGACTGATGTTCTCATACAAACATTTTGAAGATTACCAAATTTGACATTTATGACATCTACGGGGATTACGAATGTATGGCTCTACCTTGGCTATTGTGTAACTTATCTTTATTTCTTTTGGTAGAGTCGGTTTGTCGGATGTCAAAATATATGTGTTGGTGTTTATTACTGTCATTTCTTTTCATTTGCATTCTTTTAACATCTGTTATTCCTTGCTTTTTTAGGGTGTCATCATTTTCAATTTCTTCTGATGAACAAAGTGACAGTTCTGGGCATTTTATTACTCCTTTTGATGAATTAAGAAATTGATGGGGGATAGGCCTTGCTTGATTTTTAGCATTTTCTCTGCATCTTTTTTGGATATCACTTGAATTAATAGAGTATTATTTTTCTTTATTTTTTTTAACAGATTGTGGTTTGATCATGTCTGAAATAACCCTTTGCAACATGAAAGGAGACTTTTGATATATCGCCTTTACTGATTCTACAACAATGAAAGTTGGAAATTGATTTTTTTCTATTTCATTTTCACTTTCAGAAGTCTCATATTGTCTCTTGGTTTGCTTATAAGAGATAGCCATATAATTTTAATTTTTTGTATTCGCTGCCTGTGCTCCCCACCCACCTCGGAGTTCCTTCTTAAGGGACGCTATCAGGGGAGACAAATCCAAATCGCCCTAATCTGCCAAGGCTACACACTATAGTTGTGATGTGAGTGGATATGAGCACCTGCACTCCCCCACCATATCTACCCAAGTATAGTATGATGTTAAGCTTTCCCTGTCGGACCCATTATCTATCATCCCAACTAGCCCTTCCCACTATGTGACTAGCCGATTGGAATGGATTGGGCTATTCCATTTGCCCGTCTATCCCAGGTAGGGACCGAATTGATGTGTTGCGGAAACTCCTCGTCATTTTATACCAGATCAGGAGTCACTCAGTCACCAGGACTCCATCCCCAGGTATCACAGGTCACCACCTACGGCAAACAGGTAGCCCCATTTTGAGGAAATTTTCTGAAATCGGGTTTCGTGAATGAGTACTTTATGTACTGCAATTTGTGTTGATGGTATTATTATTACAAAAACCATTCATTCCTAATATTCCGACTCCAGATCAAGGGAGGGAGGGAAACTATTTACGTATAGCTGGGACCCTAATCCAGGAACAACAGCAACTAAGAGGCACTCCTCAAAACTTCCTGATCAGAGGCCTTCTGCTGGATGCAGTTTATCGTCATACAATTGTTGGAAGTGTATGAATCTGACAAAAAAAAGATTTTGTCACATATGCTGGAATTGTTAACAAGGAGTGTAAAAAAGTCAAATTAAATGAACTCCAGATATGTTTAAAGGGTTAATTTTCATTCAAGGGTTAACAGTGAAAAAGGACACAGAAATATATACTAGAATTCTAATGAAACTTGAACAGAATCAAAAACTAACACTACAAGAAATATCAGATGAATGTCAGAGAATCCTAAATCTGAGACATGATACAGAAGAAATTGAAGAAAAAAAAAAATGCACATACATACACGCTAAAGAATAATGTGAAAAAAGCAAACTTAATCCAGGTTTCAGATGTGAAAGGTTACATCTTGGAGATGACTGTCCCTTTAACAATTCAAAATGCTACAGGTGTGGAAAAGTAGGACATAAAAAGTGACGCTGTAAAACTAAAGCAAGGAAAAGTCCCCACAGAAAAAATTTCATACACAGCATTGCAATGGAAAAAACAATTACAGAAAATGTAAGAAATTTGTGTATGTGAAAATTAATAATCTGGATGTAAAAATGCAACAAGACACTGGTCTACAATCAATGAAGCCACATGGAAAGCAAACGGAAAACCTATATTAAAAAGAACTTTGAAAATCATACGTGGTGTGTTGAGTAAGAAATTATTTTTTTTTATTGGTGAAATGACTTGTAGCATCTCATTTTATAACAAGTGTGTAAAAGCTAAGGCTTTTGTGTTAAAAAATACTACAAAGTTATTCGGTACTGACTGGATGGAATTATTTGAGTTGTGGGATTTACCTATAAATGTTTGTTGCAAAAATGTAAATGGACAAGTGACCAGTTAAAAAAAACCAAAAAAAAAAACCCACACCACCACTACTGCTGCCGCCACCACCACACACACACACACAGTGTGAAAATTTAAAAAAGAATTGAAAAAATGTTTTCCAGATGTTCTGTCGGATGAATTGTGTCAGTGTTCCAAAGTCAAAGTGAAATCTCAAGTGAATAAAAGAGGTCTACACCAGTGTTTAAACCAAAATGTAGTATACATCATTGAATCAAGTCAATAAAGAATTAGACGGATTTGAAACAAAATACGTGTAATTGAAAAGATTAACCATTCAAAAATGGGCAGTACCAGCAGTGTATGTAAAGAAAAAAAATAAAAATTTGTGGTTGTGCCGATTTTTATAGGTTTAAACAAATGTATAGAATCCCATAACGGCTCATGCAAATTTAAACTGTGGGAAAAATTTTTTTCAAGCTGGATCTTTCTGAAGTGTATTTGCAAATAAAAGTTGAAGAATGGTCAGAGTTAATAACTACAAAGAAACACAAAGGATTGTATAAGTTTGAGTGACTTCCCTTTGGTATAAAAGTGGCTGCAGCTATATTTCCACAAGTTATGGATACTGTGCTTGCAGATTGTTATTTCATGGTTGTTTATCTGGATGATACATTAATTAAAAGTGTATCTAAAGAACAATATATTTTGATCCAGCTAAGTTATTTCCCATCAGTATATCAACACCCTCAATGGGTAGTGTGTTTCTGAGATCCATTTCGATTTGATATCTATTTGGTGGATCAGTATTGTCACGGGTTCATCTCCTATCTCTTATGTTGATTTGCTTGTCGGTTGCCAAGTTAATTTCCTTCAGAATTTGACATTTTAATACTAAGGATTGAGGTACTCTTGTCTCTCTCAGTATTTTGATATTCGATGTTCTATCATTCACATGTGATAGTTGTCCCATCAACACAAATGGTTTATAAAGCATCGAGTAGTTTTTTTTATCAAAACTACCCCCTGTTGTGTGGTCTGGCCTTTTCCTTCATAATTGGGTCAGTTTCTACAATTCCTAGAAATGTGTCTCAATAAATACATGTAATTCATTCTTTTTCCTTCCCTTTCATCTGAGGACAATTTTTCACTTGTATACTCTCAACTGGTGTATTATTACTTTTACCTCTGCTGTTGCTTGGTTTACTGTATATTCCCGCATAATTAGGCTTTGCTTTTTATAATGTCTGATGTATTAGGACATATTCATCTACTAATGTCGCTAATTTTTATGTAGTTCCAAACCTTTTCTCCTCCAAATAAAGCTTTAGCTGGTCACTCAAACTATTTTTGAATTCTTCAATAAGAATCAAATGCTTCAACTTTTTGTAATTGTTTCCCACTTCTTCTGATGAACTACATCTGTCAAAATAGGTTTCCTTCTGCCTGAGGAATTCCATATAAGTCTGAATTTCGTCTTTTCATTAATTCTGAAATTTTTTTTGTATGCTTCTGGTTCTAATTCATATGCCTTCAGTGTAGTAAACAAAAAGAAAAAAAGTGACGAAAGGGGGGTCAGAAAGTGCAGTGTGCCGTTCACCAGCAGACCAGCTATTCTTCCTTCGTCGTCAGTCGCCTCAAGGAAATAGATTGCGAGATTCCCTTTCTCGGCCGTTACACCGGGCAGTCGTGAAACAGACACCAACTCAGCCGCGCCTACTTCGACTTCCTCTTTGTACATCTGTCAATTTGTATGTCCAACTCTATTGGACGCAGTCCGCCAAATGACTCCCGACCTGAGTCGTGCTGCTGGTACCCTGCTTTTCATGCCAGTCTGATACTGCCAAAATTTGCATGTGTGCAAATATGATCTCATTTTGGACAAGATATGTGCGCATAAATTGCATCATCAATAGCGGTCATGTTTCTTTTCATCATTACTTTGCAGGCAAGACATGTTCGTGCTCGTTTTGAATTCCGAGCTAAGTCATGTCTTTCGTCACATTCAGTATTGCTTCCTTCACTGTTTCATAGTTTCCACATTCATCAACCGCCAATGCACCATATGTTTTCTGTGCCATGTGTGTTTTGGCCATTCCAGATTTATCAGTTTTCTGAAAATGCTGGAAATACTCATCGGCTTCTTCAACCCCCACCCCCCCAAAAAAATGCTGGTATTGCCAGGTCAAACACACAGATCTCAATTCATGATTTCTTTCTTGCGGTTAGAGTTCTAATCTCCTGGTTTCCTGCTTGATTCGAGCTTTTTTCTGGTTATAATTCTTGCCTTTTCTAATTCGATTTGTGTTGACATCAATTCTTGAGTTTCTTGTAATTGGTCAAGTATATCTTCCTCAAATATGTCATTGTCAACTATATGCTCTGCTATTATTTTAATTATGTCTTAATTTAAGTCTTTCTCATAAGCCTTCTGACACCTAGTGGAAAATTCTGCCCCACTAGGAATGCATCATCTTTTTTCAATTTTACTAGCTGTTCTACAGATGGGTTTCTTAGAAATTCCTCAACTGTTGCTATTTTTATTTTCACTAGTATTTTGTGTATGTTCCTTAACTGACAGATTTCCCCCCAATTTATGTCACGACCGGGAGCAGGATAAATAATATTATACAGGCTCCCTATATCCTGACAATATTTGTTTATAAATGAATTTATATTTTTCTTAGATAGCAAAGCCAATCATCAAAGGTGATGAATTCAGGAGATTCATTAAAAAAAAATTGGATGGTCTGCCAGGACAGAACGATTAGATATATGAAATATAATATCAACAACCAGTGAAAGAATGACATGAATGGGTATATGAAAGTTGAACAAAATTTTAATAAGAGAACCACCATGAATGAAAGAAAGAGATAGACATATTCATGTGATGGAATCCAGTGTATGTTATATATATATATATATATATATATATATATATATATGACAGGAGTTCATTTCTACCTTATACACATTTTTGCCAAATGATGAAGATGAGCCAAATCTGGAAACTCATTGAGTATAAGGTATTTTCTAGGTATTTCAAAAGCAAACAGTTCAAAGTTCTCTTTTCACATTATTTGATGAAGACTATCTTGTTGATTGTCTTAATCCCATTACGAAAGAAAATCAGTTCATTAACAGTTCAAAGTTAATTCTTTATTTCATCTATGAAATAATTCTGGGTGTCAAATTACTGGTTTTTTCTCACTATACACGGAAGAAAATCTATGATCTTATCTGTACAAGGGTTTTTCGCCAACTGAATTTTCTTTTTAAATTTTTATTAATTCAGTTCGCCTGGCCCAAACATGCACTTTCCAGTGTTGGTGTTAGTCATCTTGTGAGTCTTTGATCTGATTTTGCATATATCCGTTTTACAGGGCCGGGCTGTCTAGCTTGAAAGGGATATGCAGTGAAGAAAGAAAAGAGGAAAGAGAGAAAGACATAGATATGTTATAGTTACTTCTCATACATCCCGTTTGTTTTTTCCCTACTCCATTCATGATAATAATTAACGCACTTGCATGTCACTTACCCATAACACTATCGTATTACAGAAGCGGATATTAAATGAATTTCATAGTGGACATTTGGGAATTTCAAGAATGAAATCTCTTATGAGAAGCTATGTATACTAGACCAAAATGGGTCAAGACATTGAAAAATTAGTAAAAGTTGTGCTCTGGCAGCAAAATCATCTACCACGAAATTACAACCTTGGCCAAAGACAGATACTCTGTGATCAAGATTGCACATAGATTTTGCAGGTCCAATAATAATATATTCCACCAAAAGAGACATTATCTTTAATTGTGTATAAAATATTTAACATGCATTAAAAAAATACATTCTTTTTAGTGCAGCCTCACATCCTTGAACTGTTACACATGATGTCACCATGAACTATTTTAAACTTTCAGTTTTCTAAAGAATACCAGGATGTAGCCAAAAGAATCTTGCCTACCACACAGATACCATATAGCTCTTCAGAACTTTGGACAATTTCAATCACAATAGACAACTTATCCAAAAATTGGAAAAATTCAATAAAAATTAAACAAACATGGTAAATTATATTCAACCAAACGTGTGTGTGTGTGTGTGTGTGTGCATATGAAACATACAAAAGGATATGAAGTCATAAACAGAAAAGATAGATTATCTTAAAGGAGGGTGTATGTATTTTTCATTATAATTTCCTTTATATTTATCCTACTTCAAATAGGATCATTATTATAAGTGCAATGCTAACAAATATACTAACAATGTTGCCTGATGTTTCTAGGCCCTGAGATTCATGTTTAAAACCTAATGTGGATAATTTTAGGTTGTCAGAAACTAACTATACAAAGTATAAAAAAGTTTACTTTGAAAAACTAACTTTCAGCTCTTCACATCAAAGATATATTCAAGCAAAAATTAAAAACATAGATAAATTAAACTTTTATATGGAAATATTTCTTACCTTAAAAGTAGAGAAGGCATCTGAAGCTATGTCAAATGTTGAAACTTCAACATAATTAAAAAAGTTATGGAATTCTTCAGAATAAAGCATTATTTTGGCAAGGGCTTCATAGCGACAACATTCTCTCAACATCATACCACAGTTAAGTGCAATCTCTTGTTGTTCATAGCTGATAAAAAGAATTTGAACATGAATTTCTTAATTATGTATTTTAATATTCAAGCATCTAGCAGCATCTAGCAGACTAATGATGCCACACAAAAGTAAACTAATATTTGTCAAATTAGAGACTAACAAAATTGGCTTGAAAATACTTTTCAATTTATAAAATATTTAGATGTTAAAAACTGATGGTTAAATCTGGATAAATTAAAATACAATATTGTTATTTCAAAATTTAATTTAAATTTCAAGTTGGACACTATGCATTATGCAAATGTGGTATGCCATTCTCAGTTACATTAGTTTTGTTGATTTAGGCATTTAATACTAAAAACATTTTTCTTTTATGTTTGAATTACAGCTAAACATTTGTTCTATTAGTTATAAATAAATCCCAAGATAAAATCAAACAAGTTAAAAGCAATATAGCTAAGAACAATGAGAAGGGAAAAATATTACAGAGTAATGATAAAAGTATGTATTATACATACATTGCAGCTAACAAAATCTAAATCTCATTTTCACATAAAAACCAAAACAATCTTAAACAATTCAAGATTTTATATTTCAGAAATATGTATTGTACTCAGAATTGTTACTTAGTTTCTTTTCAGTTTTTAATTTGCAAAATGTAGTAATTAATGACAAGCTATGCTAAAATCTAATCAAATAGAAATAAAATGCAAGTATAAACATTCAGGACATTTTGTTTTTTGATAAGAAACAAAAAAAAAAAAAAAAAAAAGCCTCAATATGCCATGCCAACATGAATAAATTCAATGTGACAGCAATAAATCAGAGATAAATTGAGCATTCCTTTCCAGAAGGCATCCTATTAACTTTAAGATGACAATGAATCACATCATCATGTGAAGGAAACGTTAAAGTTCTTTTCTAAAATTAGAGATTACAAACAGATACGAAGCAAAACAAAAATATTAACAAACATCAAAAAGAGCAAAATGAAAATTGCTGAACTATAATAGAACTTTTAAAAATGGGAGATTTTCCTGAAAACAAGATAAACAGACCAACATGAATTAAAGATTTGCAAGTTCAGCACTGCTGAAGATAATTTTTACTTTAAAGCAAATTATTACAATTTAATCAAATATAAAAAGTATAGAGAGAACAAGAAGACAACAGCAATACCCCAACTAATTGTCACTCTTAAGAAATTCTCACCCCTTCATTAACTCAAATAAAATTTCTTGATGCATGCAAATATGTTCCACTGTTGGTGTCCTGGAACCTATCTGTCTCCTCAAGAGGTTGTTGAAGATGGCCACAACATCTTTCCGTCCCTAAAAAAAAAAAGTCGTCAAAATGAAATGGCTACAAAATCAAAAATTATTCCACTCTTTAAATTTCTTTTAACAGTTTTTTTTCTTGGCAAAATCTATTTAAAAATCCTTTTAAAATTATTCATTTCATTTAAAATAAATGAACTATCAATTCTTATAATCTTTGATTGTAAAATGAAAATTTAATAAAATAGTTAATCCTTTAGAAGAATTTGTCAACAAAATTAATCAAATTTTGTATCAAAGCTTAAATACATTTTAAATTTAACATAGAACAAAAACAATTTTTAAATAAAAAATTATCAGCTTATTTTCAATATATTCTCAGTTGGTTTGATTAAAAGTAATATATACAGCCACAATTGACAAAGAAATACAAATATTTCTTAATAAAGAAATTAAAAAACATTTAGGGGGATGCATAAGTTAATTCTAATAAAACTCTGACCAAATGAGAAAGTGATAGGTATACATTGACACTACACCCTCAGATACTAAGTGAAAACTTAAAGTAAAAGCAACTTACTTCAAAATCTATCTTATTTAGATTGTGAATAAGAAGTTGTAACATATTAGAGTTATACATCTCCTGAGCCAACTGAGCCACTACCTCTGTGTGAGGTTCCTGGTCCCCACTTCCATACAACATAGTTCGAATAGAACTCAGATTTTTAGATACTTCTTCTGAAGCCTGAAAAAAAAAAAAAAAAAAAGTAAAAAGAAAAAAGTTTTATTGCACATGTACAAACAAAATTATAGAGTATTAATAAGTTTATGCCAGATATAAAAATAATAGATACTATTTTGCATGTTTTTTTTTTTTTTTTTTCTCAATTCATGATATTTATATATAAACCTACATAACAAATGTATATAAATGATACCATTTAATTTGAATCTTTTAAAAAATATCTGCTGTTAGACTCACTTATCTTGCTATCTATTCTGGCACTAAGTGCATGATTTTTTTTTTTAAATTTCTCAATAATTCCTAAATTAGGAAAATTATATTATGAAAAAAGTCATGTAAATATTTTCATAATCTTTGCTTCAAGAAAATTAATGAATTTTTGTACAGGTAAAATAATCAATAAGTTTCCTGTCAACATCTTTCATGGCTGCCCTTCAGGTCTAAAGAAGACTGTTTTGCAATTCATCAGTGAATTAGGAGATGGCTCTGCAACCCAAGTCTAGTGAGTGTATTCACTGCTCCAGACTACACATCCACTCAAAAAGAACAGTACCACTGTGTAACTTTGACATTGTCACAACCACTAAGTTGCATGGTGGAGCTGTTCTTTTTGAGTAGTTAGTTTTTGATGCCAAGACTTTTTGAAAGTTGCAGAGGATTGGTGCCAATATGATCTATTGGCAATATACTCCTCTAAGCTCCTTTGGCTTGATCAAAACTAACCTTATGGTGCAAGATCATTGTACAGTTTATTTGGTTGGTCATGATGTCTCCTTACAACAGGTGTCTGGAAATGTGATGTTACTCCATGTAGATGATGTGGTCAGGTTGCATGCTCCAAAATTTAAAGTTGGTGATGTGATCCGGCAACATAATTCCAAATATGGAGCAAAGAGCCTGCATGTGAGACTTTTCCAATTTCTTGATATGTCTACAGTACAAGGTCCAGGTTTCACATCCATAGTGGAGAAAGGAGGTTGTACATTTTTAGTCTCATTGAAGATGTATGTTGTGTTAGTTGAGAACTATTACACAGCCACGGATTCCCTATGAATCACAAGGGTACAGTCATCAACAAACAGATGTTGAAGAATCTTTATTTTGACACAAAGACGAGCAAGTTCAAATAGGGAGCCATCCAGACAATATCAAATATAGATCCCTTCCTGTAGACCAAATTTGTACAATTAAAATATATGAAGGGCCACATTGTTTGCAGAAAATTAAATGCATGAGTGAATTTTTAGATTCAATTACTGAATGTTAAAAAAAGAAAAAGAAAAAGGGCACAAATAGATTAATGTCTTAATCAAAAACTAAGATATCTGTCTATATTTCTGAGATAAAGTATTGTAATTATTTACACTATTTACATTGTTCTGACTGTTGTCCCCAACTTTGTTGCCATATTCTTAACATTTTGACTGTTGTATGCCGCCTTCTGGTGATTGGAATTTTGAACCGAACCCTTTGTTTCATCCATCAGGATAGATTGTTGTAGTTCCTCTTCTGGATATCTCAGTATCAGTTATCTCCCTTTTAACTCAAGTCTTCAAGTTTTTGTTTATCAGGTACTGAATTCACAACTCTTTGGGTGAAGTCACTGGATTCAAACAATGCTTTTATCCACTGAACCATGTGTCATTAACTGATACTGAGATATCCTGAAGAGGCATAGGATGTGAAATTAGAAGAATCTACCTGAAACAGACAAAATAAAGGGTTCAGTTCAAAATTCCAATCACCTGAAGTAGGCCAGAGCATACAATGGTTGAAACATTGTTGTCCTCATATTTGTTGCCATATTCACAGTTTGAATAATGTAAATATTGTTAGAAAAGATAACTGGCTTTTCCGTCTTGTGTCCACTTGATGCCTAACATTGAAATATAAAGTTTGATTTTCTCACCCCCCCACCATCACATTTTCTTCAAATGGAAAACAGAAATACTGGCTCTCTGCATACCCTAGCCACCTATTTCTATAATTCATGTGTGAGTTTCAAAAAGGTTTCTTCACATTGTTGCAAACCTGAATTTGATTAGACTAGTCTGGGCGAAACCACTGAATAGGATTTTCAGTGTGAGAGATAGAAACAGATATATAGAGAGAGGGAGGGTGAGAAAATTCTTTCTTTTCATTCTGATGTATGGGCCACACTGAATAGTCCTGCAAGTTTCCTTCAGCCAAAGGCTGTATTCTGTGTAGGCCTGCTCTAGACCTTGAGTTGCATGAGACAGCATGCATATTAAGATGATAAAGATTGGGGTTAGGATACAGCCTTGCTTCATGCTGTTGCTGATTTCAAAAGGAAATATCATTACCATTGGACCTGACCAATTGTGGGTATCCCATATACTCAAGGACAATCCAAAAAGCATTCCATACAGAATTTTAGAGGCATTTTTTGTTCAACACACTTTTCGTGCTTCTGACTGGTCCATTACTGTAAATAAACTTTCAGTTTAATCTTCCCATTAAATAAAACATTGTGACAAGAAAATTTAGTCCTTACATAAATTGTAAAGAATTACTTAACAGGTTTGCCTTTGAAGCATTCCATGGCTAGACAACATAAATAGCCATGGTAACAGCTTTTTGTTTTCTTTGAGTGTTTAATTTGGAGAACTGTTTTTTTAAAAATGTGTTACATGATACTACAGAGAGAGAGAGAAAGGAAAGCAGCAAAACAAGTTTGTGTTGTAGATACATATTAGCACTATTCTTTATAGTTTAATAAATTTAATTTTATTTAATCAAAAAGCATTGGTCATATATAGAAATTTCTAATGTTGAATGACAATGCATAATGTTATCTATGGTTTTGTTAGACTTCAAATATCCTAGGTAACTGAACATATTTAAAAAAGAAAAATCTTTTTCTTAATTTCAAGTACAGATACAATGCATAATAAAAAATATGTACAAATCAGCATGAAAGGTAATATTCTTCATATCAGTAAGCAATGGAAAACAAACTGTGAGCAATAAAGTCAGTAAAAGAAAAAGCAATTACATCAAAAGATTGGTCACACTGAAAACCACAGCTACTGAAATAATAAGTCTAATTTTGAGAAGAGTCATTAACATTTCAAATTTTGTTCAGACAACTGACCTCCACTTTTATGTTGCTGACAATGTTACTGCTCTTTGGGTTATGCATTCTACAGTCTTCTTCGGGTACATAATTTATAAGAATAGAGTATTTTCTTTTTTAATTGATGGCAATATAGAAATTGTTGTGAGCATCTCAGATGTTGAAAATCAGTGACGAAATTAATTAAATGAATTTCATATGAAAGATTGCTCAACAAACTTGGCAAGACAAAGGTGAGTCAGCAGAGACAATCACTTTAATCTGTTGCATGAACTTGCAAATCTGCATTTTCTCATTACAACTGGCAGCCTATCAAAAGGATCAAATTAATTGGCAACAACATTAGACAAACTTAAATTTCCAAACTTGTGAGAAGTATTTGCTATTAGCTGGATATAATCCAAGTATTAACATAATTTGAAAAGCACAATTGATGGAGCAATTGTAAACAACCAGAAAAGTAGGTTAACAAATAGTTACATGAACAGATTACAAGAAAAATACCTTAAAAATATGCATGTGTTCAAAGAGCTATTTTCAGTCAATAATTACAGGTCTCACACTTTTTCCACTCTTGAATGTAGATTTGTAAGCAGATATATAATCTAATAAATAACATATCAGGTAATACACACTATTCTTATTCACTTTTCTGTTGCTTGTCTATTTCTTCCATTGAATTAGAGACTTTTCAGCAGTACCATCCCTAGAGATTGAACTCACAACTGCCAACGAACTAATGTTTTAATTAATAATTTAATCTACTAGATAGAATATGTATCTCTTGGTTGAAACTCTGAAGTTTTAAACGTAATATATAATAATTGAGCGGTGAGACTAAGTAAACTGGTAGACTCAGGTGGTAAACTTTGTTTTGTGGACCTTAACTGTGATCTGTGAGATTCTGATTATCTCTAATGATAGGTCTAATGTGGGATGATTCTTTAAATCATCTTATCCTCCAATGATAAACTTTACCTATTTACTTCTTTCCACAGGGACTGATGACCATCCTTTCCTCTCCATACGATCAGCCATACTTGATTTTAATGTCTCTTTGGGCAACAGCTGTTCAATGTTCCATCATACTTAATTTTAGGGAGTAGATAGTCTCTCCTTTGTATTTCCTACAACTACTGCATGGAGTAGAAAATCCAGGTTTTCTTCTGAGTTGAGGGTGAAGCTTACTTCAAGAGTGATATCTCTAAAGGGTTGAACTTTCTTTCAAATGTCATCCTGATATTGCTTGGCTTGCAGATCTTCTGAAACTTTTCATTGATTGTTGTCCTCAACTCTTATGTTACCACTTGTGGAAGCTGATGTTATGTTTACAGGATAATTGTTACTAAGAAGGGTGTTTCTAATGCCAATAGGCATTGGCGTGTGTTTGGGTTGCTACACATGAGTTTGGCCAGATGTTATAGGCAATGGATGATTACTTTTTTGATGGTGGGAATTGAAATAGGTATTTTCCATTGAATGTTTGCTTACACATAAGGATGTCTTGAAGCCAGGCTCAATGAGAGTACATTCAAAAAGACCATACAATAATGGAAATCAAACTGTAATGTCCTTAATATACATTCCAAAACAGTAGACAGACCTCATATTAATGCACTGTATATCAATTATTGAGGCATACTCTTATGACTGTAAAGAGCATCCTGCGATGCATTATTCCATGCCTCTTTTACCTGTTCAGTCAATAAGGCAGCAGCTGTAGGCAGGTAAACAGATGTTATCCAATCATTTTTAATAGATGCATGTTATGGGAGAAATCTGAAAATTGTGAATACCAGAAGTTGTTTATCATCTGGAAATGCATATTGGGCAGCCCAAGCATGTAGGTAGGAATTATTCTGCTGGGACAGTATATCACATTCTTGGTTCAACCTGTTCTACTACCATTCTTGTAACATTTCCTGGGTGTGCATGGTGCTGTTCCATGTTCTTTCCACAAACACCAAAGATGAGTGATAGTTGTAACTTATGGTACCGCACAACATAATTCTAGGCATTGTGGGTGAACATACATTGGAAGATGTTCCCTAGTTCTACATTGTACTTGCATAAAGTGAAGACAGAACCTACTCTTTTCACTGAACATTACAAACACCATTTGAACCCCCAAGTGAAACTTCTCACATTTCTAGTGATGTAGTGTAAATGAAAGTCTGGTTAATCTTAGTGCAAACAAATGATCCCCAAAATCTGTGCAGACACTCCTAGGGCCTCATTAGTTTTAATCCATGCAGTCTGCCACAGCTACCCTTACAACAGGACAATCTTGGCAAGTAACTGTATTATATGGCCCTCTAGAACCTGGTCTGTGAATGTATGAATGTTGAATGTCTGCTTGACCAGTTGCAAACATTGAAGCACTATCAATGCACCATATCCAACATGCACAGCAATTCTTCTATATGACCATCCAGTCTCTTAAAAGAGTCTACACTGACCCTATCAAATGGTTCTATTTGAACAAAAAGAGCACATATGCATCTCTATGGCACTGTTACCCAATTGCAGTTATTTCTTCACCACTGAAACTTATCAAAGCATGCAACACCTAAAACTCAGGTATACATGGTGCACTGATATGAAATATAAAACTTTCTTTAAATTGACTTGGTATTCCAAATCAATACTTTACATAAACACAGAAATGAGATACAATGCATGATAATGATCATTATCTTCTGTTTCCTGGATTCTTGTTTTTATTGTTTTCTCTCTTTAATGATTTTTCCCCACATTTGTCCCCCCTTTGTTTTACTGGCTTTATTGCCTTGCTTGGGGTGAAATGATAAACAAAAGGAAAAAAAGAAAAAAAAAAAAAAGAAGGAGAGCAATGAAATTGAGGTGACAGTGATTGTTGTAACCAATCTGTGTGATTGGGTGTGGTGAAACCTTGAACTACATCCACCATTCATAAGCTCATGAGAAATTGAGCGACCTTAATTTAGATCAATTAGCTACTACTGTCCTAAAAACCCAAACTGATGATAAAACTAAATATATACTTTGACATTCCTTTTGGATCACTGTTTAACAAAGGTCCAGCCAAATTGCCTCATGTACCTACTACCAATAGCAAGCAAACACTGTTTAAACAAAAAAACAAACAACAAATGAAGATCTCTGCACACACTGTGCAAAGTACGGACTAGACAAGTTAATCCTGAGACAGAACAATATCACCTGGAGTGCAGTTGGTATTAGCAAGACTTGCAGAAAAGGAGAGAATTGATTACAGCTGAACTTAGTAACCACCTACTTTGTAATAAGGAAAAAGGTTTAATAGTGCAATATTTTAAAATCAATGGTAACATTGCATGAAGAATGTTTTGACAGATCAGAGTAGCCAGTATAGTAATAAGATTATGCAAAAAAAAAAAATTAAGTACCTATATGCAGTAAAGTTCAGATGAGAAAAATTAAGGCTTTGATTATAAAAAAGTTATAGTCAGATATAAAACCAATTCTATCATTTTCATATATGACATCAATGCAAAATAGAGAATCTAGTGTAGGAAAATTTGGCATAAGGAAGAATATTGAAATAAACAAACTGAACTTCTCAGAATAAAAATGGCTATTATGAATACACTTTTCTAAAGAAAAATGGTTCATAAATAAAGCCCAAATGGGGGAAAAAAAAAAAAAAAAAAAGAAATATGAATTTCATAATTACTGACAAACCCAGCAATGTTATTTAAATTATTTAAACATTAATAAAGGAAGTAATCATAAAATGGTAGCTCAGAGTTAAATTTGACTTTAAAATTGAGAGAAAATTAAAAAAAAGAAATTATGTCTTGATTTTTATTTGGTGATGTTCTCTAATCTTAAGAATAGATTTTAAACTGTGGAATAATGAAAAAAACAAAAAATATGAATAGAAAATTGACAACTATAATTAAAGAATCAGCAGATATAATTAAAAAGAAATGATGTCATCCATTCTCAACTCGGTATCTATAATATACAAATGCTACATTGACGGATCCCTTAATCATGTACCTGTTGCTGGTCAATGGCTTTTATATATATATATATATATATATATATATATATATAAAAAAAGATGAGAGAAGATTAACATGAAAAGAATAAAAGAAGCTGTTAACAAAAGGGAAGAGTTTGAGTCCACATATGCAAAAAGCAAATGCTTACATTGAATACAAATGGGGAAGTTAGCAAATGTAGGCACAGGATGTTATGGGTAACTGAGAAGTACTATGCAAAACTTTATGCTTCAAAAATAAAAATAAACACCAACAGATACACGTGGTGTTTCAAAGGTAACAAAAAATGAAATTATGTTACAAAATGATAAACTTGTTGAAAGCATCAAGCAAAAATGGCGTAGTAACAGACCATTTCAAAGATGCAGAAGGATTTCACTATAAATAAGAAGAGCTATTTATTCAGTATGAAAAAGAAAGGTACTGCAAAAACTTCAGTCGAGGAATAGTATTTAATTTTATAACAAAAATAAAAATGTTTAAGCAAAAAACAAGATAATATTGACCTTGGTGATTATTCTCCTATCACCTTGCTATCAAGTATATACAAATTATTTTTAAAAGCATTTCCACACAGATTAACACTTCAGATGTAAGTCAGCAATACAAACAGGTTTTAGTAGTTATTAACAGCAAACCAACTGATAAAAATAAATTAACAGAATAACAAAACACTTTATCCAGCCTTTGTTGACTATAAAAAGTATTTGACTTTGGCAGTCAGAGAAATGTCATTTTTTAAAAATTTTTTTACTATTTAGCACTTTATATTTCAGCAAATAAAACAAAAGACCATAATAAATGGTAAGGAACTGGAAGAAGTTTAGGAATCCATCTAATTAGGACAGGTGCTAACATCAAAGAAATATGAAAATGAAATTAACAATGTATAAGAATATCTGGAAAGTATTTTGTAAAAATAAAATCATATTTAAAAAAGCATCTTACCAATATGTTTAAAATGTAATGTGTATAATAAATGTATTATGCTAGCTATAACATATGGGTTAAGATCTATAGCTATAATGTATGAGCACAAGACATAAAAAGTTAACAAAATTGCTTCAAAACAAACAAAAAGCAATGTTATGGATAACTAATAAAGAAACAAGTAAAAACACAAGCAGGAAGGACATATAGCAAGAGGAAAAAAAATAATGGTACAAAAAGTTGTTCGATTGGTACCCAATGAGTGGTAAATGCAGTAGGAAAAGACCAGAAAGTATGTGGAGTGATAAAATAGAGTGGTTTAATGGTAAGTCACAGTAGTTATGGAAGGATTTGGGAATATCCTGTCTCACAGTAAACAGAATGATAATGGCTGATGAAGACTAGCAATAAAATTGATTCTAAATCAGTTTTATTGTTTTTCTTCCAGATGCTAAGTTTGTGTCACCAGACTTCAAAAAATTATGAGTATTTTCTCTTCATTACTTTTTCTTTTTGTTTTAGATTAAAGTATTATTAAATTATTTATAATTGAGAAATAGTTATATTTCCACATATTTCCTCTCACAAAATTACATAATACAAATCCTTTACCTATAACATAAAATAAAACTGAAGATGTTTATAAGACAATTTTGAAAACTTTCAAATAATAAAACACAAGAATAGTATTTTTCCAAGTGCAGTTAAGCCCCTTGGACCGACATCTTTAAACTCCCAATTGAAAAATTGTGTCACTGAGGTTTCTTGGGTCAAAGCCAGCATGGACACTTTCATCCCTTCTTGGAAATACCAGGTGAAATCTCAGTCCTCCCCAACATGCTCAGCTGTGGTAGCACACAGGAACCACTATTTTCAGCTATACCAGCTTGACAACTCTCATCACAACAGGTACCTATTAATTGCTGCTTGCAATAAATATAAGCAAGTCCTTGAAGAAGTAAAGTCCCAAGAGAATGAGGCACCACATAGCCTCTAACAACTTTGGCTCTTGTGATTACTGTCAGCTGCTGATAAAGCTGAATACTTTGCTCGTAAATTCTCAAACTCTACTCTTGACTCATCCAGAATATCCCTACCTAATTTCCCTCCTAGAACAGAGTCTCTGTTGAGTGATATGCATATAACACCTTCTATAATTTCTGCTATCATCTCTATATCATCTTGATATCCCCATAAAGCATAAATTGAGCTGGATAGATATAGCCATAAATTTTATGCTAACAGGTTCTTTTCTCACACTTCTCATTTGCATAACTCTTCTGGCTCCATGCTTTCCAGCCAACTTTAATCTGCAAAAGTTTAAATGCAATGTTAATCCCTATCTAGTGTCCACCTGATTACCCTCTTACTGCTCATCATTAATGTTTCTGTTCCTAATTCTTCCAGATCTTGTAACCCATTATGACCTTGCTTGGGGTGATTCCAATTAAAAAAAAAAGAAGTTATTATGATTCAACATAAATAGGGAAAAAAAAAGGGTCAAATGAAAAATGTTAACATTTTTATCTGCTTACTTTATCTGATTTTTTATCACTTCTTCCAGGTTCCTTTGATAGCAATATAACAGCATCCTTTAGGCTTTTTACCAACTCCTGTGGACTTTTGGGAGATTTTCCAAATAGTGGCATTATCTACCAGAAATTAAGTGATGAATTTCAACTTTCAACACTGAAACCAGAAAAAAAAAGTTCATATTATATATTACAACCCTATCAACACAAAAATAAAACTCTCTGATAATGACTTATGAAAGCTAAAAGCTATCAGAAGACATTTTTCCTGGAATCCAGAAAAATGATTTTAACCATGGAAAAAAAGAAAAGAAAAAAAAAAAAAAGAAAAGACATTTCATTGCTTATACAAGTTTACTTGATGAAGATCAAAAATATATGCATACACAAACAAGTTTGGTTCAAAATAACACATACTTTTTATATAAGTTTTTCATGTTGGTGAATTATTTTATCTTGGCACAAAGGGAATATCCATAATTCAAATTAGTTCTTGTTAAGGTCTCAAGCTTTCAAATGACTTCAGACATTATCAAGAAAGAAATTTGATGAAATTCAAAAGTCAATTTGCATCTTTGGAATGATCTTGAATGTTTATGTTGTCATGTGAGCATGATATTATTTTGTGTTTTGGTCATAACTTAAAAAAAAAAAAAAAAAAAAAAAAAAAAAAGAAAAAAGCCTCTCTTTAATACAGAAATAGAAAGCTTGACAAAATATAAAATATGGTACCAAATCTATCTCAATGAGCAACAAAGTTATGACCATTCAAAGTTCATCCGTTTTCCATCTTATGTGCGACTGGACCAGAAGCCAATGTTAACAGTGTGTAGGCTTCAGATTAATTAAAAATCATTATAAATGTAATGTCATATAGGGAGTCTTGAAATAAAAGAAATATTGTGTTCTCAAAAACAAAATAGTTAAGACCTAACACAGAAAGGCATTTTTGACAGTTCATATAAGTTTAATTTCAATAATTAATGCCTTGCAACTCTATAGTACAACAGAGATGAAGCTAAAATCTTTTTCAGCAGTATATAAATAAAAAATAATATTTACAACATGGAAAAACTACCAAAAGCACAAAAACAGGTCGAAAGTATACCATCCTGAATTTGCCATAAAAATATATCCATTGGAGATACATATATTCCATATCTTATCATGTAAAAGTGGTGGTATATCAGAACCCAATCTAAAAACATATGTTGATGCCATTTCATCCAACAAAGGCCAACAAAAATAATCATTTCTGCCTTTGTGCTGTAATCAAAATTTTAGTTCCAAACAGAGATATAATATCAATGACTTGGTCAATATAAAAGTTTGAGTAATAGTATACAGCTCATAACTGAAAGTCATTTGAAGTGGTTTTTCATCATAAATGCTAGAGTTGATATTTAGAAGAAAACAACTTCTTGGAGTGCAGAGTTCATCACCAACTGAGCAGAAGATTAAATGTAAATTTTATTTATCAATCGGGTAGTGATCTCTGGTGTGGAAATCCCTAATGCATAAAAAAAGGAACAGATACCCACTTAAAAAAAAAAAAAAAAAAAAAAAAAAAAGAAGTTATGTTTGTTATTTTCCATAATGGTTTAAGGAAAAAATTTAAAATTATGAAAAGGTAAAAAAAAAAAAAACAAAACAAAAAAAAACCCAATTACATTCTGAAAATAATGCAAGATAGATCCTGGAGAAAAATTGTCTAGCATAATACAGTGAACCAACTTTCTTAGCAGCAGACTTAGCAATGGATGGATTGGTGGTTTGACTAAAAAAACAATTTTTTTGGTTTCATCTTCAAGCTATGAAACCACTTCAAAATTTTTTTACAAAAGCAAAATTGTTTGGTTTAAGTGCTATCACTACTGAGTGACCATATCCAAAGAAACACTATTGAAAAAGACTTGTTTTTTTTTTTTTTATCTAGGGAATGTACCTAAATTAGATAAGAATAATTAAAATAGTTTCACATTTAAAATGCATATATTTCCAGATATGTGAGTCTCAAGGAAAATAAAACAAGAACAAAACAGAAACTGATACTGAAAGATAAATTGCCAAACTGACCAACTTTAGATTCAATATAATCTTTCCAAAAATGTCAGGCGAGAATGTTAGTCCAAGAAGGCACGAGTCACTCTCCTGGAGATTAGCATCAGGTAGAAAGTGGTCTCTCAGCTGATTAATAGAGAAGTTTTGTTTTGGCGACATTAAAATTAACATGCCATTCCTTGCCCCAGTTAACAGACAGTAGGTCACTTTTTTTTAGATCAGCTGCCAATTTGACTTTATTGAACTGATCAAACATACTATGAAGACAGGAGTAAATGGTTGCATCATCCGTATAGATACCAAGTTGAGAACTGATGTCATCAGGAAGGTAATTGATTAAAATTAAGAAAGTCGGTCCAAGAATAGAGCCCAGAGGGACACCTGCATTAGTTAAAAAGGATCTAGAAGTGTGGCCATTCAGGACAACCTTTTTTAGCAATTTGATAAAACTGAATGAGTTCAAAATTCATCTGGAAATGCCATAACCTGTCAACTTGTGAAGAAGACTGGTATGTCAAACACTGTCAAATGCTTTCAAGATGTCCAAAGCAACACCACTCTTATTTAAAGCTTGCAGTTAACCTAGAAAAGCAAAAGCTATATAGCTTATCTGAAAGAAGGCCCTGCAATATTAGATGCCTACCAATTCATCACTGCTTAGGGCCTCTAGTAGTTTGCCAAAAAGAGGTAGAAGGCTAATAGGCCAATAGTTTGAAGGGTCAGACAGTTCACCAGAGTTCTTAAAGACTGGAGTAACGGAGGATGATTTTCAACAAGAAGAAAAGTAAGAGGCACTGAGAGAAGAAGACCCACTTTGAAAGCACATTTCTAATGAACTATTTTAGGGATACCATCAGGTCCAAATGATTTGTGAGGATCCAGATTCAGGCATTTCCAAAGATTCACTTTTGAATGCTTTATATTAGTGTGTTGAAAATACAGTAATAAAATTTTTTTGTCAAAACAAAGCTCACTCATAATGAAATATCCATAAAGTTATTTTTTTGTGTGCTTAAAAGCACATCAACCTCTTAGTGCCAAATCCTTTGTTTTATTTGTAAGAAAGTTTTTAATTAAATTCTTTTAGAGATGAGTTTTTGTATAAAGAGGTTCTAAAGAAAAAAATTTTTGTGTGTGTGTGTGTGGGGGGGATTTTGTGGGAGATTACAGTTTTATGAAGTTGAGGATGTTATCCAGGTTGGTTTATTTGAAAAGCCTGTTGACATTCCTTACTTTTTAAAGAATTTTTCCTGGATATGGTTGAAGTTAGTACAGTCTGTGTGCTTAATTGTATATGGTTCTTAGCATGTTGTACATACTGGAGGTTCTTCGTTTTTAAGGAGAAAAGAATGGGTTAAGTGAGGGTAGCCAATATCTATTTTCTTTCTATATCCAATGGTTGGTTGGATTTTTTTGAGTTTGTTTTATGTATACATATTCCAGGATTCTGGCCATTTTTTTGGTAATGAATTTGCATGTTTCTTTCAGGTTTGTGTTATGGATTTTAATGTTTGATATGTAGGGCTTTTTGGCTCCTTTATCTGACCTTTCATTCCCATGAATTCCAATGTGGCTGGATACCCAACAGAAAATGATGGATCTGTTTTTGGAGGTTTTGTCAATTTTCAGTGATTAAAGGGTTTTTAGTGTCTTTGTTTCTCAAAGCTGTGACTACTGAGAAAAGAATAATTTTGTTGTGTTTATCTTTTATTATATCTAAGGTTAAACTAATAGCTACTATTTCAGCATCATAGATGGAGGATCTATCAGGCAGCCATCTTAGGTACTCTTTGTCTTTAAATATAGCAGCACTTCCTATTTTGGCTCCATCTTTCAATCCATCTGTGTAAATGTGGTTATATATATGTGGTAATTATTTTTGATAATCTGAATTTCTTCAAGTGTTATAGAGTTTATTTTTGTCTTGGTTAAATCCAATAGAAAATTTGGCTGTTTTAATAGCTATGGATTTTTTTAGGGGTGGTGGATTCATGTACCTGTTCTATGTCAAAGTTTGCAACTTTGGTTAAATCTCTGATGCAAATGTTGAAGGGCTTAATGACATTTTCTTTTCTTTCAAAAAGGGAGTTATAGAGTTTAACAGCCATGAAGACAATTTTGTGTAATTATTGCAGGACCATTGTGTGATTCTGCATACAAGGTCTCCACTGGGGATGTACTGAATGCAAGTGCAAGTTTTAGTCCTCGATGATGGATAGATTTACTGGCCAATCCATAAATGAAACAACCATAATCTAATTTTGAGTGTCCAATATAGGCTTTGCAATTTTGTTTGCTGCCTAGTCAGTATGAGCTACCATTCTCAGCAGTTGGATTGCCTTATTGCATTTATTTTTCAGTGTCTTGTTGTGTGGTATGAATGCTAGGTGTCATTTTTTACTTTAAACTAAGAATTTATATTGTACCATATGTATTTTGGTACCATCAATTTTCAAGGTGGAGTCATTGTGCATTTTCCAGAGCTAGCAGAAGTGAATGCACTTTGTTTTGGTTTTTGAAAACTTAAAACTGTTTTCTATAAGTCCCTGTATTTATTTTGTTAAAGCATTGCTGCAGTTGTCATTCAGCTGTGTGAATATTTTTAGATCTATAGCAAATCAAGAAATCATCAACATAGAATGAGCTGTTGATTTCAGGGTTGTTGCATTTTACAATATGATGATGCACTCTTGAGGAACTCCCATATTTCTTCTTTCAATCAGATTATGTGTTTCCAATTGGTGTTCTGATGCTTCTGTTGTTTATGAAAGTTGGCATTCTGCTTTTAAACCAAACATCCTTTATGTCTCTCATAATTCTATGCATCTATGTCTTGCTATATGCATTTTCCAGATAAAAAAAAATATTGCTAGATATTCCTAATTCTTAATGAATGCTTCCCCTATTATGGTTTCTAGTTGGACTAGGTCAGTGGTTCCCAAACTTTTTTTTTGACTATGACCCTAAATACAATTTTTGCCTGGTCCAGCAACCCTGAATAAGCGTATGACAAATTTTTTTTGTCCGTCTTTTTTTTTTTTATACCCCCCGCCCCATGAATTAACAACATCAAAACTATGAATGAAACGCAGTATA